ATTTAATTTTACATTACGTGGTTATAATTTAAATTCGAAAATTTCTAGGATTTTAAAATTTTGCTCAAATTGCAAATTTAAAATCTAATATTTATTTATAGCATTCTTTTATCGAGTGTTTGAAGCTCAAAGTCTTTTTGACTTTGAGGATTAACGATACCTTGAAAATATTTAAACAAACTGTTTATTCTTCATTGAAAAATCTAGTAGCTAATTGTATTCAACGTCCTCAAGAAAATTCATTATTTTCGAGTATCATCACGACAAATTTATCTTCATCAAGATGACGTTCCTTCCAATGTATACAATGGAAACTAAAAAAATTTACACTTTACGTAACAATCTATACATGTACTATTCCTGTCATTATTTACTTTACGTTCAACTTTACTTGTCAATTTCTCATCACGTGTATCTTATTGCAGAATATAATAAAGCATGATATTTTGGAAAAGATCACATGATCTTTTTCCAATTAATAGGTACTTTCGTGACTCATTGTACATAGGAATTACGAAAGAAAATTTTGTCTATTAGTATAATTGAAGGAACGAAGTCATCCACGATGTTTATTCCTATCAAATTCGAACTAGCCAGTCAGATTGAACATTCAATGTGTTTATGAATAATAGATATATCATATGTAGTCATATGAGTAGTCGTATGTGAAATAAATGGACATAAATGTCCAAGCCCATAGTTGGTTGCGAGTACAAAGCTGATAAATTTTCTTGGACGGCATTGATACACGTACTTGACGCATATGATGTTGAGAAACCGTGCGAACAGTTACAACAAATTACGAGAAATTCATACCTCGAAGCCAACGTAGTAGAAAGTTATCGTCGTGATGCGGTTGCTTCAGAATGTCTTGAACTGCCCGCCTAAACTGAAACCAGAAATTCGTATGAGTTGTGCAATCGAATCTAGAATTCAGGTAGCCAGAATGGTAAAAAGCAAAAGAAATGTAAAGTTATAAAAATTTATAGTTATTGCAGAGAGATACGAAAACAACGTAATATGTATGTATATTATTGAGAACAATGTAAATGAAATGAATTTTATGTATCTCACCAGAAGATATTTTCACAATGTTATAAATAAAATCAATTTCTTTAAATTTCATAGAATTATTAAATCTAGATTGTAATTAACATATGAAGACAAAAACAATTCTGCAAAATATTTTCTGTACATAATGAAGAACTTTCAGTGGAAAAATATTTTACTTTGTGCGTGAGTATTATATATTTGAAACTTGTAAATTTTTATGCATTTTTATATAGTTTAAAATATAAAATAGTATAAAATATATATATGTTTCTATTATTAATCTGTGTATCTATTTTCTATGTCTATATTCTGCATCTATCTTCTGAGAATTATATTGAAAATTTGCTAGTTTGCCTTTCATCTACGATTTGCAGTGAAAGTAAATGGTTTCCCTGAGAATTGCACAGTTAATTTTGCAAAAATTAGGTCAGTGTAAAAATCTTCAACGATTTTGTTCCACACAAAAACACCTGTATTTACTTTCACGCAGATTTTTCAACGGGTCAACTCAATCCGGTTAGCCATAATCGAAACGCCGGTCACCGACACATGTCGTGTATCAAATCTGTGACTGAGATCTGTGAAATTTATTCTTCATGTTGAATTTACTTCAAAAAATTCTCATATTAATATTAAAGATACTAAAAATAATATTGAAATATATAATATTAAAATATTTTAAAAATTGTAAATAAAAATAAAAAGATTTAATCACAGCGAATACTTGAATAAAGATTCAAGTTCCATTCTACATTGTATCATTTCAAACTTCATTTTCCAACATTTATTATGATAAAAATTCACATTCTATTTTTCTAAATATTTCACGTTCTATCTTTTTTTCTTGTATCACTTTAGTTTGAAAATGGATCGATGTAGCAATATTATGGTAGCCTAAGTGTCATTAATAATTAGAAAAAAGTAAAAGATAGATAAATATAAATGAAATCACGCGATAACTCTTTTTACGTTAAGTATATGTATTACATGCATTACAAGCATCAATTTAGTTCCTTTTTCTGAAAAATCTTTCTACATGAAGGACATGGCAAACTTCTGTACATTCTCTAAGTACTGCACGTAGTTTACAGACTCTACAATTACCACAATTGCAAAATACTCTAAGATCTCTGTTTGTTGGTCACGATTCGCGAAATTGTTCTTTTCTGTGTCAATGTAAATCAATCATCTGGCATTGTACAAGTTATAAAGAACTTCCAACCAGTTTTCACTATGATGTTCAAAAGATGAAACAAATTATTATTTGGTTTTCATTCTTAGTAATATTCATAAAAAGTTTACAATCTACTAATAACAAAAAACCTATTATTACTACTTACCGCAAGAAATTAAGAAAGATTGTGAAAAATTTAATGTGAAATTTTTTACATAAAATAGAATATAACATCTATCATCAATAGTTTAACCAATTGACAAAAAAAAAAAAGATTGAAAAAAATTTGAAATCCACTAATGCATTAATATAAAGCATTGTTTGCCTTTTATCCTGCTCTATCTTCTGCAAACTTCCTTATTTGAAATATAACACAGAATTCATAGAAACTATCGCATAATCCAATTACTAACATCAAGCTTAATACGCTAGTTGCATCCTTTATGTAATACAATTCGAGAACCTCCAATGGAACAAACGCGACTTACACACATACAATCATGTATAAGCAAACTAATGGACAGACTAAAAGATAATGTGCGAATGTGTGCTCCTAATCTTCAACAGCGTCACGTTGCAAGACGTGTCACAGCAGGGTAAAGAAAGTGCCGTTTTAATGCGGGGGGGAACCGCTCACTCTCGATCATCCTGACGTTTGTGTAAAAAAGCCAGTGCGTACACACACAAGTAACAGGTATAGAAAGAACTATGTTTCACAAGGAGAGAACTTGGAGTTATTTGTACTACGGATAGATTTAGCGACTCTCAAAAACGAAGTGAGTGGAGACGGAAGAAGTGTATACATGCCCTGCGATAAAGTAGTTTTCATCAGGTGAAATCCATTGGATAATGACACGTTTTCAAGCGACGAGAGCGATGATAAAAAGCGTGCTCATTGCTGGCGGTGTAGAATGAAAGTTTTGAAGGGATAGGAAATAGCTGTACATCGTCCATTATGATAATAGCTTGCTGATTGAATACTACTTTCATGTTGGATGTGAATGGTAACAAGAGTTATTACATTGAATAATTGGAAAAAAAGGAAAAAGAATTATGTTGCATACGGTGGAATAATCAGAATATAAAAATTTGAATCTACTAATACAACTAGTGTAAGCATATTGCACAATAGTTCATGAAAGTATTTTAAAACTTTTGTAATATTAATATATTAATTATATAGGTATAAAACATTTTGAAACTCATTAGCATCAAGTCAACAGCAGTAAGCCTCAATTATTATATTTACAAAAATTCTTATATTCTTTATAAAATTTTTGGAGAAAATAAACATTAAAGAATTCATTTATCTTCATATTTACACTAGTTGTATTATTACATATTATAAATCTATATTTGCAATACTAAAGTACTACATTATACATCTTCAAATTTCTTGATAAAAATGACGCGCGCGAAGTCAAATAGAGAATATATAGAGAATATATTAATTTAACACTAACATTTTCTAGTATTTAGTAACGTCACTTACTTAGTTTATTTAAGAATTCACGTATGTAATGACTGGTCTTTTTCTTTTCATTTGTAGAAGGCTTCTGATTCAAGAAAATTTTATTACGTAAAACGTATAATTTTCTACTAATCTGCATTATTTATTCAAATTAATTATGCAACAGCAATCTCTATGATAATGTAATTGTTTACTTCACCTTTAAGTTTACATGTCTTATTATCTGTAAAGTAGACTTGATAATTATTGATTTCTTCGATTTGAACCACGGAGAAAGATGTACCATACGATTCTTATCTTGGTTTCTATTATATGTATATATAAAGCAATCTTGCTTATTATCATTGAATATAATAATTAAATAATTAACCCTCTAATCATTTTAGTCTAAAAAGTCATAGTTTTGTAGCTTTCTACTAATGTATCTGGCGAAAAAAATATTCAGATGAAAATTGTTTGGGAGAAACGCTTAGAATGTTTGAATTTTTTCTTACGGAATTATGGACCACACATTTGTAAAAATTCAGCTATATATTTTTATCATTACCTACATGGTATCAGATAAAAATCTACCAAAAATCACAATATGTTTTATGAAATAATACTTCTATTAAATTCGTACATAATTCTATTTCTTGTGAATTGTCAATAATACTGATTTGTTTCTTTTCTTAATTCAAGCAAAACCGTTAATCCTCTTCCTCTTTATGATTCAAGCAATATTTATTTTATACTCAATAAATTACTTTCAAAAATTACTTTCACAATTTAGATATTTTCTTGCATTTTCATGCACATCTAAGTTAACAGATTTTTCTATTAAATTAAAATATATAATACAGATAAAATTAATAAAATATATAATACAGACTAAATTAAAACATATGATACAGATAAAAAAGAATATGTTGTATATATCGAAATCGGCAAGTGAAAATTAAATAAAGCAGAATGTCGAATTCACAACACAAAACGTTAATAAATTATTCGTCAGACACGTTCATAATATCTTTTTCTGTCATGACCTCGACCCTGCGGTCATACCTTCTTTCGAATCGAAACGTTGACTTACTTTCATCAATGCGAATCGCTGGTTATCCTCCAATCCTACTACTTTCAACATCTTCACGTTTCTTCTCTTTTGACGGCTTTCGTTTTACCTGTTTCACGATATGCGTGTCTCTTGCTATCGTTTACCTCGTTTTATTTCTGTCTCAATCGACGAAGTATATTTATCAGATTCGCCAAGTGTCATGTAACACTTCCTTCTATTGAGCTTTAATTCCTGTTAGAAACAGGCAATAATTAGATACGAAATTTGTAATTGTATTGATGTACAGTAGCTCGCAAAAATATGTAGAAACGTTTTATGAATACGTGTATTTAAAATTTTCTTAGTATTGTAATCAAGTACAGTCATATTGATAAAACTTGAAACCAATATTTAATCATCTTTGACAATAGAAGTACCAGAATAATAATAATTTTATAAATTTACAATGAAACATTTTTAGAAATTTGCATGATTTTTCCTAAAATATATAAATAAAAGTTTGTGTTGCTTACTGTATCATATACTGTATATATGAACTGTATATATAATATGTATTTACTGTATATATAAACATTCCCCTATCCTTTGCACTGAAGTTTTATACTTTGTCCTATAACTTCTACATTCATTTTCAGATTAATCTCAAATTCTATAGTCAAAATATAATCAATCGTTTCTCGTTAGAATACTAATGGAAATTAGTTTGAAAATGTTTTATGTAATTCACATAATATATGTGTAAAATTCTGATGATGTTCAAATACTTTTGTGAGCCACTGTAGAAAATATCGATTTAACGTAATAGATATCCCGCGTGTTACTAGATGTAATCAATTCATTACTATGCACACGGCAATGAGGTCGTATTACATTTCAAAAAGAATAAGTCTCAGAGCTGTTGTAGAATTGTGGATGTTAAATTCGAGTATGTATTATTCTTATACATTTTCTATAAAATTATATATAAGTATATTTGATAATATGCACTTTTTTAATATAATCGTATATTAACTTTATATCAATTTATATCTCACCTCATTTACATATCATTTATGTACCAATGAAACAATATTGAAAAAGATATTACATAACGAGTATTCTTTGAGGAGTATGATCGATGCAACAGCCACAAAACTTCAACTCTCTCCGCGTATATGTACGATGCGATGTTGCAATCAGATAAGTTCCCTTTAACCGGTTTGATTTTATAGCCACCATTAAAATGCACCTCCGAGAACAATGAGAAAAAAGAACATTACAAAAGTGATTAAGAAGTCCGTATTTCTTCTTGGAGAAGAACCTCTCTTTTAAAAAAAAAATCGTCGAGAAAGAATTGTAAACGAGTCACGTTGTCACTTGGCGCGCAAGCACGTTCGAATAGAGCGCATCGTTGCTGCGTTCAGCTTTCGTGTTTCGCGGCTGCCGGCTTACTTAATAGCGCAACAGGTGTCTCTTGCGGTCGTAGCGGCCGCGCTCCAGTTCGAGAGCCAATTCCCTACTAAAAATGAATACTGCCTGCTGACTAGCACGCAAAGAATGGTACCGTTCTGTTCTGCGCTGTGTTCACGATGACCGGTGCTATCTTGCCACGGGCACCCCACCGCTTTAACTTGCCGGGATTTCGCTTCGTTAACTGACCATCGTTATCCTCACCACTTCTTGGAATTGATTTTGTGAAACAGGTCTTTGATATTACCTAAGTAAAATAAATATACGTAATATGTGTACATTTGTCATAGGCAATTTATACTGCATATACTGCATATCATATGAAATATTTTGAAATTTCCCTGTAATAAGACACGATAGTCATGATTGTTATTTGAAACGTGTAATAAATGTCAAAGATGATCCATTGAATATCAAAGCTTATTAATATGATGGATGATCTGCCATGATGTCTGCAAAATACACTTGATGATATATTTGCACCAAGTATTTTGTAACTTCTGTTATTACTTTATGTATAGTTCCAAATTCCTTTCAAATTTTACTAATATAATCACGATAACCATTCCTCATTGTGGAGCTAATAAAATTTCAAAATATTATACATAAAAGTTTCCTGTGATAAGTATTCAAATAACCTTGAACCATCCCACTCGGACTTAACATTTGGGATTTTCTAAAAATATATCTCCTTTGATAACTGGCCAGACGAGTCGCGACATGTGGTCAGTGAACAAAGTATCAGTATACCTCGTATACGTTCATATTCAACGTAAAGAAAACCAAAATTCATTTCGATTGTTTCCGTTCATTGAATTAAAAGAATAAACGACTAAGATATGAGCTCTTCCTCCTTTGCAGATTACAGCGTATGCTGGGAACGATGTAGCAGCGGATCGGATAATTTCAAATGCGCGCGAATTTGTGAGTAACCTTGTAATATGATACTTCACAAAGTTTGTGCTTGCTACGTGAGTTTACCAAAGATCACCGTGGACTGCAAATTTTTCCTTATTCATTTCTCTTTGTTCATAACTATACAAACTAAAATGTAAGTTTAAACATAACCTTTCAATACTTTGATAAACATATCAATTTATTATATAAAAATGTACGTAATAATGCTGTATAATCATAATGATAGATGTATAACATACTAAGTTTAGATCTTTACCTAGGTGTACACAATTAGTATTAATATCATAGTAGCTCCGATAATCTTGGATTTGCAGTCGCCATATTTGTTTGTATAGATTCATAAATTCTATTATAAGCAAATTATGGATCGTGACAGAGAATCTGAAATTAAATTTTGTACTACCATTTTTAAAACACTGTGCGCGCCATCTGTCATGGGATTATGAGGTTATATGACAATCGATGAAAATATCGATTCACGGACACTCGATCGATCTTTAACATTCGACCCATTATCGCATCATTAATCACAACAAACAAAATAGACTTGACATTTAATATTTTTTCGTTTCTTCCGTTTTTGGACTCCTGATCCATTTTTGCGTTTTATGCGATATTATCGACTGAGTATGGCAGAAATTATATATTCTCCGTAAAAAATCACAGAGGGGGTAAGGAACTTTGACATTTCTAAGATCGGTATTTCAGAACGTGAGACGCAAAATCCTACATAATATCACGTCTATTTTATCTTTAGTCAATGGCCATCTAGATATGGCGAAGGATGATAAGTGGTGTATCGTTTCCTGTACGATTTCTCAAATAAATGTAATATTATTAATCTGAAAAATCTGTACTCCGATTAATTAATGTGGGGGAAGTGATTCATGCCATTGTAGTTATTTGGCCGCGTCCGCGTCGAAGAATGCAGATTTGTTTTAAGCAATACATTATCGGCGTTTTGTGCCGGCATAAATTTCGACAGGGAAATATATCGTACAACAACAGGATACCAATTACGAGAAACAAATCCGATCGTTGCCAAAGCTTTGTCAAGTAAGTGACAGCTTTTTTTTTATAATTATATTAACTAACATTATCTATAAAATTATAAATTATTTGTAAAACTTATTAGTAGGTTATAAATTTCGATAATAAGTTATCAATAGTCAATTTTTTTACATATAATGAAATAATTTTAAAATGCATATAGCGAGCATATATATACAATAATTGGCTACACGATTGTATTAAATTGTTTCTTGCAACCTATAGACATTAAACAGATGAAATTTATTTCCACAATTTTATTTGTTTTATTTACTAATCTTAAAGCGGCATCTTACGGTAACTTACAACGTCTTGCAGCGTCTAAAAGTTGTAGGATAATTATATATTAAAATAATTACTAATAATTATATTATATACGTTATGTAGTTATGTAATCCAGAAGTAAATACATATTTAACTAAATATAGAGAATGATTCAATTCTCTTCTCGAAAAAAACGAAATTTCTAACATAATGTTTAGTTTTTGAACTTTGTAATATGATGTGAACCATTGTGCATGAATGGTAATATATTCAAATATATTCAAATTTCACTTTTCATTGCGTTTATTTTATATTCAATTTCACTTATTTACGTCATCTATTCTACTTGTGTATCTTGTTTATTAATTAAACTGTTAATAAGTTATTCCATCCACAACTTGTTCAATTAAACATTGTGTTATATTACTTCAAAGTAATAATTATTGAATAAACGTCTGTAGCCATACAATTTTTATGTTTATATATAGTAATATCATGATATGTGATTTTATTCAATTTTTTTCAATTTCCATAATATAATACATATTTTATAATTCATTCTTCTTTTTCACATTTTTTTAATAATAATTGATCACAGAATCATTTTTATTGGGAAATTCACCAGGTGGAAAATTAGTTTCTCTGGAAGGGAATCATGCCTTCCTGACTTCGAATTACATAAGGAATGTACATACCATTAAGTGCAGAAAATTGAGTCAAGGTTTTACACGGAAATGAAGCTGCGCATGTTTGTATTCATACGGGAGCCAATGACCCAAAACCCGTAACAATTGCGCTTACTCCAACTTCAAATAACTTTCCCTCCATTTAATATCTATTATGAAACAAAAAACAGAAAAAGAATTTCATTGGAAATTCCCTTGCATTTTACATCTTGTGTGAAAATTAATGAATACTTCAAAAAAATTATTTTAATATAAGAAATAATTAATTTGTCATGATTTTCCTCATCTCAATGTATATTTATATTTTACAGTGTGTTTTTCAATAAGTAAGTTTTTCTCTATTTTCTTACTGAAGAAAATCAAGGTGAAACTGATTCTGATCTAATCACATCAGCCATTTCATTCGACATCCGCACGCCAACATACAGCATAAAATAGACATGCAATATTTCAAAGTTTGTCATATGAGAAACGTGGTTTGTTAGGCAACAAACTATGCCAGTGATCTAAGGAAAATATCAGTGGATAGGAAAGTTCTTAAGGAAGGCCTTTCTATCGAATGGTACATTGCACGTCGTGAGCCGGCTAAGTATAAAATCCAACGACACTGGATCTCTTCTGGCGTTCTTTTCGTTCAATCCTTCTACTTTCCCGTGATTTTTCATCGTTCATCTTATCTTCGGATGGAAGAGTGTGTCCATGTTATATTGCCACTTCTGAGTGGGGGACATAGTGCCATTTAAACCGAGAGGGATAAATATAATTTATCGAAGCAATAGAATGATACAGTTTCATCCACGGAATCGATTTCCGTTCGTATTCGTTTGTCGTCTGTCGTGGACACATGAATGCTTTATAAAAATTATAAAATTATTGCAATTGCAGAAAGAGACGTTATTGAATCAAAGGATACGAACTGATAATTATCGGCTTACCAGTGTTGTGATAAAATTAAGTGAAGAGAACTCGGCAAATAACGACGAAAGTACTTCTTTATTCGGTCGAGGGAAAATTAATTTTTTTTCGTGTTGTTCGTACATGCTTTCTGATAAGAAATTCCGAAAAACTATTGGTGGTAAATTATTGGAATTCCTAGATTGGATCGTCTGCGACTTATTGATATGGGAACTTGTCAACGAGCTGAGCATGGTTCTTGTAAGTGATTCCGACGAATTCACAATTTTATTCTTTCATTTTTTTCATGTTATGTAGGATAGAAAGTAATCAGCGTTTTGTATACAACAAATTGGAATGGGACTTAAAAATATTGAAATGTATACGAATTTCAATTTTTTTAATTCTTTAATGTGCACATTCGCCTAAACTTTGAATACCTGGAATATTAGATATTGATTCGAATTTTTCAGAATTTCTAATTTTAGTAAAATCTTGAATTTCAATATTTGTCACCTGTTTGTTGCTCTTCATCTTGTTTTTTGATAATAACAAATTTACAAATTTTTCAAAATGACGGCTATTGACAATCATATATTGATCTCTGTTGACTTTTGAATGAAATCTGAAGTTAATATTAGTGAAGTTTCGAATACTCATTTACAACTAATTTTTCTCCATTTTTAATTCTAATTCTTTTAATTCTGTCATGTCATAATTTTCCGTTATTTTTCCTGGTAAAAATATTCAAAAAATGAAATGTAGAATTCCTCAGACTCGGTCTGCGCGATTGCTGCATGTATCTATAAATACATTTGTACACAACAGCATAACAACGATTCTTGGGTAATAACAGAATACTGCAAATAATCTGTTACGAACATCCGATATTATGAATCTTTTTAATCTCAATAAGGCGAAGTAACCATATCCGTTGGAAATTCACAGAAATTCTGTAACGAAAAGGCAGTGTTATTAATTGAAATTCTAGGACATCCATGTCTCGAAGTAATGGGCTTAACAACTCCATATGATTTATTGCAATTAATCTTTACGGCCATAATACTTCTTCAGCGTGAATCGTAGACACTAATTAATTGTTTCAACCATATGAATATACTTTGTTCTTGCAAAATGTTGGCACTTTGTTGGCTTATTTAGTACATGCAGTTGATATTACAATTCTACAAGATATTTGATAATATAATAAGAAGTATAGTATTCTTCTCTATAACTAT